TCCCGCTGTGCAACACAATCAGTAAGTGTTCCGTCGTCGAGCCTGCTTGAAGACGTGCGTTAAGCAAACGCAGAAGATGAGTTTCTTCTACGGTTAGTGAGTGACGTGTCTAATCCATGTCGACGCGCTTTAACAAGCTTGACTTCTCAACACCGTTCTTCAACCGAACGGTATTCTGTTCGTGATGGACTGCTGTACTATACAGTAGTCAACGGTGACACACCTCGTGTCGTCGTTCCCGCTCATAACGATTTGCGATTGCGCATCATGTATGAGTGTCACGATGCCCCGACAAGTGGGCATCGCGATAAAGAAAAGGCTTACCTTAAGGTAAGTCATGACATCTACTGTCCACGTCAGTATGCGTCTGTGCGCAAATAAATTCGCGCTTGCGAAGTTTGCTAACGGGTGAAACCTAGTCCTTCATCCCGTTCACTTGCAGCTTCTACCGATTCAGTCAGAGTGCTGACAGTCCGTATCGATGGACGTCGTCTTCGGGTTTCCCAACGACGTTCACAAGAAAACTAGTATTCTTGTGTTCGTTGATCGGTTCATCAAGATGACACATCTTGTTGCCGTACCGAAGTCAATCACAGCCCAGGGATGTGCGCGTGTCTTCATCGATACTATCTTCCAACTTCACGAATTACCCCGTGAACTCGTGTCTGATAGGGACCCCCGCTTCACAGCGGAGTTCTAGCATTCCGTGTTCCGTCCACTTGGAACACGTTTGACGATGTCGACTTCTGACCATCCTGAAGCCGATGGTCACACGGAACGTGTCAACCGCGTTCTCGAAGAGATACTTTGAGGGTATGTCCACTCGTTTAAGAGCTGGAGTGAGTTCTTGCCGATGGCGGAAATCGCCATCAACAACTCGGTGCACGCGTCGACAACGCATACGCCGCTCTTCGTAAATGACCTACGCCATCCACATTTTACCAGCTTTCTCAGAGTGTGACACTAGTTTAAGGGGGGACGAATCGCTCGAACAAAAACCGATCTGGTTCTTGCTCATCACCCGTCGACAATGGTGTCGACGTGATGGATGCCGATGTCGATGCGATCGATATCGATGATGATGATGATGACGACGAAGATGATGGCATATTCAGCATCGCCAATGACTGCCAACGTGAGGACAATGGTACCCTCACTGGTGAAGACAACGTTTTTTGAGCAGTGCACACGAAGCGCACTGCTGTTGACAAGGATGAATCAGCAGAGGAAATTCTGCTGACTCGCGAAGTGGTTGTCCGCTTCGTTCAAGACTATATTGCAGATGCACTAGACAGACAGAAGAGAAACGCAGACAAACATGGAAGAGCAAATGTTTTTTCATTTGATATAGGAGACCTAGTTTTATTGTCTACAGTAAACTTACCGAAGCACGCAGTGACAAACGTGGGCAGCAGTAAATTACTGCCCAAGTATATTGGTCCATTTAGTGTGTTGCGCCGAATGGGCAACGCATGCACGATTGAACTGCCCAGTAAGATGCGCACGCATCTTACGTATACGTCGGTCGTCTCCGCCCGTACTATCAGTACGAGCCCGTTTCGAGATGCGAAGAACACCTCCACGGTCGAGAGCCGAGACCACCCTCGAGTGCTCCCGTTTCAAAGAGCCAATCTGGTCGACTAGCGAATTGACCTGTTCATCCAGTTGAGAGATGTCCTGATGAGCTGCAGCCAGCTCGTCACGAAGAGAATGATTGAACATTTGTTCTCAAGCTGCGCGAACGCAAAAGCGGCACGATCGTCCGAGCGATCGTTCGTTAGGAATTTATAAAAATTCCTCACAACATTCTTAAGCCCATAACGCCGAGAGCGTTCATGAGCCATGTCGTCTTGCAACTGTTCCGTTAGAAGGTTCAGTTTCTGAACATCAAGCTGATCCGACCCTGGATCCGGATCAGGTGTTCCCACCCCACCACATTCTTTGGTGGAATCAAGCTAAGGTTAAGGCTTCCTAGTCGAGCGTATTTTGAAACCGCGATGTGAATGGCATCCGGACGAGTTGCCTCGTCCGCTGGCGAGACTGTCCACCGGCGTGGGACAGCTGTGAGCCTCGTGCCCAGCTGATTGTTGATGTCCTTGGTCTCGTTGAGCAGTACGACGAGACTTACCCGCTGCATTCGAAGAAGTGCCGTCGGAAAACGACCTCCCCTTAACGCGAGTACAGGGATTGTAAAGTGTCGATCCCTTTGGCCATCTCAGAATAGGTGCGCGCACTACAGTGGGGCACATTAAAGAGGCAGGCCTTCCTAGGGGCACGGTTCGAGTTGTCCAGGCACCCTGGGTTTGGATCACCCCACGAGAGACAGGTTAAACCTGCCTCTCTTGAAGCCGGTGCAACTTGTATCGCGCCCTGACGGGGTTGCGTTTCTCAAACCTGATGCGAGCTGCATCAAGTTTGGCGAGCCAAGCCTCACGGCCGATGCACTCTATGTTGTGGATGAGGGTATTCCATCCCTGCACCAAGACTTTGCTGTCTCACACACGTTTAAAATTGTACCACCGATGTTTGAAGAACGCATCGGTGAAATTCTCTTCCTCAGCACGGATAGTTTCCGTGCTGGAATTAGGTGGGCAAATCTTCCTCCAATTGAACAACGGAATTCGATTCCATTCGGCAGTCGTGCCGGCCAACCGGTCCAAGTCTCTGGGTGGCGGCATCTACGAAGATTCCACTTGAGGAGCGTGGCGCAGGACATTTCGGTCCCTGGCCTCTTGATTGTTGCCAGCCTGAGCACTGGCACCAGTGTAATACCGATTTCTTATATTGCTTCGCTCGTGATGCATAGGTGCATCACCACCATTCCACTCGTCCCATCGTTGGACGGACTTGCGTGAGGTGGAGACTCATCGGAGTAATCACTCGATCCGAAGATCTCGGTCATGATGCTGCCGCGCTGACCAGAGCTAGTCAGCCTGGCTTTTGCAGCGTCCGCCCCTGGTGATCCCGAGGCGTGAGAAGTCGCCTTCAAGTCGGATGCATCATTCGACTCGCCTGAATAGATGAGCTCTATCTCAGACTCTTTTGAATTACGATTCGAGGTACCCGCTGCAGTCGCAACGGATGTACTGTCGCACGTGGTGACTCACCACGTGAAGGATTAACGACAACAGGTGACGCATTGCCTGCTGCTTAAGCGTGAGAGGCACCTTCCCGCGGCCGCACGCACGCGTGCAGCCGCTCTTCTTGCTGCTGCAGTAGCAGCTCGCTTCTTTTTCGTGACCATGCGTTAAATTGGCAAATGAATGGAATTTGACCAACACGTGGTCCCTTTCACAGGGTGATCCAACGGCGGCCACCCTGTCCTAATCCATTTTAATTTAATCAACGCGTATTTAATGGTTGAGGGGGGGGATGTAACGGGGTAGCCCGTTACATGAAATTGACACCCGAACGGTGTCAATTGGAATGTTGTCTAGTATGACAAAATTCTACAAATATCATCCTGGATGGGTAATATTCATTCGCTGCTCCAAGATTGGTTGATATAAGACATATCAACCATGTGGTACCACCGATCGCTGCTAGACGCGCGCAATGAGTTGTGAGCAGATTGTCGTCATACGACGGCGTAGTTTAACATATTTAGATAAAGATTAAAGATATATTGATAAGCTAGACTATATTGTATACAATTCCCTTTTTACCTTTACCTGACCAAATCGTTCAAGTAGATAGCTTCCTCTGCACGTACTAGTATACGTGAAGTTTCGCGGCACCCCAAACAAAGGGTCCCTTGTTACACTACACGTATTAGCAAGAAGGACGATGGCGTGGCCGCACCGGCCGTCCCGCTTCTAGAGGCTGAATCGACGCTTAAAGAGCTCAAGAATTTCCGGTTGTAGCAGGAAACTGAAAAGAAGTTCTTAGGGATGATTCAAAAGATGCAGGATCAGGTGGGAATTCTTCCGCAAGAATCCCTCGAGCAACTAAGTCTATGTAAATCTTTGGAAACGCTACTAACCACCACATTTAATTTATCACCCACCACCGTCCATTATAAAATGATATAGATTTATTTTTAACAACGCATTTAAGTGGTCGCGTAAACATACGACATTGTAAAAGTCATTTAACAGATTTTCGCATTGTATTAGGTTACGTGCTATTATGCTAGACGGACGTCTTGAATTCGATCTACACGGGTGGCAACAAAACGCTTTTAGACTTATGCTGTTCTGTGGCTCAGAGACTAGCAAAATATAAGTGGCCAGATTCTTCCATACGAATTGAAGCATGATGCTCTCGATTTTCCTTTAGTATGGGCTTAAAAAATAAAATCAAGACCCAACCAATTAGTCAAAGGGCCGCTACCTACCTAGGTAGACAAGTGGCCTTTACATAAGATCGAAAACAAATTGCTGCGATGTGCTAGTTCATGACAGGGCCCAGCATCACAAGCTAAAGACTATAGATGGAGGTTTCATCAATTAGTTTGCCAAACTAATTAGTCGCAATTGACGCGAAACGAGACGGATCTGTTAGACTTCACCTGGACCGGAGCAAACACGTAGCGCTCCGCCTGTCAGAAGCACGTCAGTCAGGTCATATTCGTATTTCCAAGGGGTTTAACTAGGAGCAGGGTCAATAATTTTTACGACATCACTTTGTGTTGCCCATTGTAGCGGAGCTACACAGCTCCTTAAGTCAGAGGAAGACTTAACGCTCTAAGAGCAACTTAGTTCTAAAGAACTAACGACTTTACGAGTCAACAAGCTTTATAGCTTCAGATCCCTGTTCCAGGGGACCTAACGATTCAGTGAATCGACAGCACTTAGTGCTCAAGAGTAGCTACCTCAAGGAGGTGTCGCTAACTAAAAGTTAGCGACACCCCAAATCCGTTCGCTGAACGTGAAGGTGCGAGCGCGCCGCCAGCGCAGCATGCAGCATCTGGTTCTGATGAGACTATCATCACGAACCCGCTCGATGAGCAACAACAACTGCTTGTTCAAAGAGAAGAAAACGCTCAGCGTTATGCACAGATGACTGCAACCCTTGAACGCCAGCGTGATTATGTGTTCACCCCACCCAGTGTGGAGGAACGTCTGCGTCAAGCGGCCGGACAAACATTGGCAACGTGGGTCATTGGCCATGGGCCTAAGACTCCTGAGGAGGTGGTGAGCTGCCAGGCACTTCGTGAGAGGTACCTGGAGCCGCACCTAACGACTCAAAGTCAATACAAGGCACGCCTTGACATGCAAGCACGTGGTGCACCAGTTCCACCGATGAAGGGTATACCCATTCTCCTGCTCGCAGGCGAAACAGCGAGTGAAGAAGACGATGCCTTTGTTCACTGGGTGCACTATGTGCGTCGCCTCAGCAACATTTTTGCTCTAAGGGCTAGTGCCCATGCGGCGGATGTGCGTCTCGAACGCAAGCTTTGGTATGATTATGCCAAGCTTAAGGCCAGAGGCCAATTGCGCAAGCGCACGCGCTATGCTTCGGCTACTAAGGTAGCCGCGAGTGCTGGTCAGTCTGTGACCAACAACCCGCCAACCCGCACCACTAGTGGTGGTGAACGGCCTCGGCCTCGAGATGACCATGGCCACGATGCTCAAAAGCCTCCAAAGCATATGGGCAGTCTTGCCGAAGGGGTACCTCAAATTCCCATGAGTTTTCAGACTCAGGGTACCCACGCCACTACCAGATACTGGTATTGGCCCTGACGACGACGTCGTTTCAGTAGTCTCTCGACATGGAATTGACGACACCCATGCTCATCGAGCAAAGTCGGTGGCGGCCGGTGTACCGGTGGAGGCCCACGAGAAATTGGTTCTCGAAGTGAAGGGTCTTCAAGAGGCCTTGGGTAAGTCCCAGTGCATGCTGGATGCGATGCAAAGCCGCCTTCAGGCGATAGAGCAAGCTCAAACTCGGAGCGAGGCTCAGTTGGACTTGCTGATTCGTCTACAGCAATCCGGGGCAGTGCCCTTGTCGTCGGCGCAAGCGCCTCCAAGTTCACATGGGAAGGATCCCGGTACGGCTTAAGTAAGCCTACGTAGAACACTGGATGTGTGCTCAATTTGCGCGGGAGGTTTAGCGTATACGCAAGTCCCTTCTTGGCCGTGACCGTAAACGGTCCAATAAAGCGTGGACGCAACTTTGTCTTAAAGACAGCAGACACTACATTTGTAGGTAGATTTTTAGCATTGAGTAGTACTTGGTCTCCGACCTCATAACGTTCAATACATTTTCTGCCTTTGGCATCAGCTTGTTGTTTTTGGGTATCTTGGCTATCAGCCATTGCGTCACGCACATGTCTTAAGACATTTAATCGCGTTGCGAGAAACTCGCTTACCTGTTTTTGAACAGTAGCAGGGCTGATATCAGCAAGCCGATCGGCAACCTCTCCCCCACCAAGCCCTGATTCACGTAGTGATAGCGTTAACGGAACGCGAGGGTGAGTGAGACCGTTTATATAGAACGGAGTAAAGCCTGTTGAGGCATGAACAGCGTTATTCAACGCAAACTCAACAACAGGGAGCGTTGAGCTCCAACGCCTAGGCGTATCAGCGCAAATACTGCGCAAAATGTCGTTGATGACGCGGTTTACACGCTCAGTTTGACCGTCGGTCTGCGAATGATCCGCTGTGGACATGTCCAACCGAGTGCCAAGCACCTTGAAGATAGACTTCCAAAACTTCCCAGTGAAGCGGGGGTCTCTATCAGAGATAATTGCCACAGGCAAGCCATGTTGGCGAAAGACACGATCGATAAACAGCGTTGCTGTACCTTCAGCATCAATGCTATCCGGCACAGCCGCTAAGTGAGCCATCTTGCTCAATCGGTCAACAAAGACCACAATACCAGTGTTGCCTTCCGAATCTTTCGGTAGGCCAAACACAAAATCCATGCTCATGGACTCCCAACAACCACTGGGTACCGGCAAACTAGCCAGCGGCGCCGCCGCATGTGCCGAGGGTTTTACCCGTTGACACGTTTCGCACGTACGCACATAGGTGCGCACCCACTTATAAAGTTTGGGCCACCAATAACTTTGGCTCACCGAGCTATAAGTCTTCTCACGACCGAGATGACCACTTAAAGCAGTACCATGTGCCTCATAGAGGATCCGATACTTTAATTCCTCATCATGAGGTACTACGATACGAGGGTTGTCCTCAATATCCGTGCGATAGCACAACAGGCCATTATCGATGGAATATCGATGTAGCCTCGCACGTAAACGTGCCGACAATTCTATGTCCGAGTCTTTAAACTCATCGCTCCCAAGAGCACGTAGCAAAGCTACACACTGATCGTCCTTGGCATATGCCGCACGAATTAAGTCAGGGACTGACGACGACAGGGTCGTAACATGAGCAAGCTCATAGTCAGGTCGACGCGATAGCGCATCAGCCAAAGCGTTTTGCTTACCTGGCTTGTACTTCACTTCGAATTTATATTCGGCAAAGAATGAAAGCCAACGAGCCATTCTCTGTGAGAGATGAGACGACTGTGTCGCAGTGCGCAATGACGCATGATCGGTATAGATCACAAATGGCTTCGAGTCAAGCAGATGGACTCTGAATTTGACAAGAGCGTACTTCATAGCAAGTAGCTCTTTGTCGTGAACAGGATATTTCTTTTCAGCAGCTTTCAGCTGTCGAGATTCAAATGCGATGACGCGTTCGCGTCCGTCAACATCTGTTTGTAACAGAGCACTGCCTATGGCAAAGTCAGATGCGTCACAGACGACACTGAAAGGCCGACCAGAATCGGGCAAAGCCAATATTGGCGCATGAAGGAGACTCTCCTTAACTGCTTCAAAAGCATTATGTTCGGTGTTACCCCAACACCAACCCACATCCTTTTTAAGGAGATTGGACAATGGCCGAGCCATATCTGCGTAATTTGCACTGTACTTATGTAAGTAATTGGCAAGGCCAAGCCACTTACGCTAGTCCTTTTGGTTCTTGGGGACTGGCCAATCGACTATGGCTTTTACCTTAGCGGGATCCGCTCGAAGGCCTCGCTTCCCAATGAAGCACCCTAGAAAGGAAATCTCTTCTGCACCAAAGATGCACTTCGATGCGTTCGCATACAGCTTATTCATCCGCATACACCCGAGCACCGCTCGTAAATGATCGATGTGATTATCCACATCTGATCGCCCATTCATTGCACGACTATGGACAAAAATGTCATCAAAGTACGTTTGTGCATAGCCTCGATGAGGTCTGGATAGTTGCGTTACCAACCGGTTAAATGTAGCCGGGGCGTTAGATAGCCCTTGTGGCATAACGAGCCACTCCCAAAGCATACCGCTCGAAGTACTCACCGCTGTTAGCGGAATATCGCTTGCTGCATGAGCAGTTGGTAATAACCATCGACTAAGTCGAGTGCACTGTACAGTGAACATACCGCCATATTGTTCTGAAGAACATCCTTTCTAGGAATAGGCGTCTGCGCCGGTATAGTGGCTGCATTAAGCTTATTTTAAGCATGCACAATACGCTACTTGCCATTTGGCTTTCTGACACAAAATGTCGGTGTTGAATGGGGAGATTTACTCTCACGAACCATTCCAGCCGCGTGCTTAGCACGAAAGAAATCGTCAATGACGTCGCACTGTTCTTTAGGCAAAGGCCACTGCCGTGTTACACAGTATTTAGTTCCAGGAACCAAGTCAATCTCACGACGTACACCTCTATCGGGAGGTAAGGCAGAAGGTGGGTTGTGTCACACCACATCTTGAAATTCCTTGACTAAAGGATAGAACGGATCCAAAGGGTCTTTAAGGATCGAAGATCCACTTCGTGCACTAAGTGCCGCCTTTGTATCCTCTAGGACAGACTCATCCATTAATGAGGAAGAATTCAACTCAGTATCAGGTCTAATGACCGCTAACTCGGATAACTATCCTGCCTTTAAGGCATGGCTAAACTCACCATCAGACATTTCGTCTAGCTCAGACAGAGCGTCCACAGATGGAAGGGTTTCGAGGCTCACATTGCCATTAACCTGACCATTCACTCCATTAACAAGTGTTTATAGTGTATTGCTAATCTCACTATGTGACTGTGAGGACGCCTGGCGCTTTACAGCTGCTACTCGGCGTCTCGATTGTCTCTTCGAGACCTTACACCCCTTAGGGGTCGGGACAATATTGTCCCCTTAGTAACTACCAACCATAGTACGCTCTATACGAGAGCTTTTGGCTTGACCGACATTAGGTGTGGTGCCCTCACGGCCGTCCACACTATACGGCGTATCGCCAACAGTGTCATTACTGACATTAAGTGTGGTGCCCTTACGGCCGCCCACACTATACGGCGTATCGCCAACAACGCCATTACCGGCGTTAAGCGTGGTGCCCTCATGGCCGTCCACTCTATACGGCGTATCGCCAACAATATCATTACTGACATTAGGTGTGGTGCCCTCACGGCCGCCCACACCATATGGCGAATCGCCAACAACGCCATTACCGACATTCAGTGCGGTGCTCTCACGGCCGACCCCACTCGGTGTAATTTCACGTGCCACCATACACACACCAAAGGAATCACATCCTTGATCACTCGGCCCTAGGCCAACCATGCTTTTAGCATGCAGTGACTCGTTATCACAACGAGTACCACTCAACGGAGTACGTGCCGTTTCACTAGACGAGCTAAGCTCGAAACTTATGTTTGTAACATTGGAGTTAGATAACTCGGACATTCCAATATCCAGCACATTGACATCTTCTGTCAAAGGCTCGCGCCAATAGCGCTTCTGCTGCCTAGCAAAGGTGGGTTCATGACTCTCCAAAGCTTCGCTAGGAACATTGCGCGTGGCGCCTAAGGTCTTAGACCTCCAATCAATCCATGGCTCATGTCGCTCAAGCCAAGCCATACCTAGGATGAGATCATATCTCGAGTCCAAATCTAGGACAAGACAGCGCTCAATACTGTCAAAGTCTAAAAACCTTATACCTAAGTTCAATGGAACTTTAGGCACCGTTACGCGACTTCCAGTCGCTAAACGAACCGTATTAGAATCACCCTCATGCGCTGTAAGCGCCTCAGCATAACGCTGACTTTCCTCAAGGGAACGGCGTCGAGCATAATTGCAAGACGCTCCAGAATCGATCAATATCGACCAAGGCTTCTCGAAGCCCTTAATCTTCGCCTCGGCGACCAACAAGCCAGACTTGTATCCACGCACCATACCCGTAGGTATGGTACTCTTTGGGGCTAAGCCCTGCATTCCTATACCTTCTAAAGGTGTAACAGAACATAGTTCTTCCCCAGTAGGGCGCCCCGCGCCTACTGGGTGTCGGCATTTCCCCGTGCCATGCCAGACTTCTGATTCGGGCTCGAGTGTTGGCTCGTAGTCTGGCGTTGCTTACGCAAAGGGCAACCAGGCCGCAAGTGTTTAGTGCTTCCGCACGTAAAGCATCGTCTTACAACGTGTTTCTGCTCAGCAGCTTGAAGCTCAGCTTCACCTCCATCTTCAGCATAGCTGAGATCCATCGGTTCCGGCCTATTATAGGCAGTGGTACCCGAATAGTTCGCTCTCACAGATCGAGGATTGTATCCGTTCCAACCAAGTCTGGCCGACTTTAAGTTATGCTCAGCATTAAGAGCAATTCTCACAGCCTCTTCAAACGTAGAGGGGTGAACCCGAAAAACTTCGGTTCTGGCAATGCCAGTACGTAGACCTTCTATGAAGATAGTCACATGGACTGCTTCAGGCAAAGGGTCAGACTGCATTGCAGCCATGAGCGTTCGCAGCTCTTGGACATAGTCCGATAATTCATTCTTACCCTGGCGGGTAGAAAGAAAGTGTGAGCGCACGCGGTAAGCCTGGTTAGGTGGAGAAAACACCTGTACCAATTGTAACTTGAGCGACTCCCATGTGGGAAACGCTATGTCCACCGACGTGCGACACGTCAAGGCCCATTCTCTAGCTCTACCATCGAGCTTCGAGATAGCCAGCGAGACCTGTTGATGGTCAAGCGTGATCAGACCTGATCTCATGGCCATCTCGGTCTCACGGAT